TTTTGGTTCGTGACGTTGTATCAAAGAAATTGAGATGATTATCTGAGATAGACAACAGAAGATAATATCAAAGTAGGACATTAGAAAGTAGTAGCTATTATTGAGATGGTTTTGTCATCATTACGAAATGGAAGAATCCACAGACACTGGAAGGTCTTAGACAGAATAACAGCTTTGCAGCACAAGACAAATTGGAAGGAATTTAGACGGAAGGCATGAGTCTGAAAATACACAGAAGAAAAGTGAAATTAAGTGAAATGAAAAAGTTGAGCTGCCATCTTATATTAATTTAAGACCGACATCACAAAATCTGTCAATAATATTTCAGCAATCCGCTTAAAAATAAAACAATGAAGAACTTGGAAGAGCTGCAACATATTCGTAAATAAGGAAAAGAAAACAAAGAGAGATTCAGGGGACTGATCAGAGATAGATGTACAGTTGCCAAAAGATTAGAAACCGCACTGATTTATAATGTATATTCAAGTCGAAAAAGTTTTCGTGATGACTGATTTCTCCGTTTGTCAATTATCAACCGTTTCCATCTTCATATTTAAAACTTTAGAAATGCCTCCATTTGCATATAAAGATGTTACCATCTCGAAAATTAATGTTGGAGGACTTGTGAAAAAAGAAAAAAAAACAGGAATTATTGGTTCAAGACGTTGATAGTTATAATATTGATGTATTCGATCTCCGAGAAATCGAAATCAAAAAGAGACTTGATATTAATATCGGAGATAGACAGCAGAAATTAATAGCTTTCAAAAGAGATAGTAAATGATTTGGAAACTCGGTACCTCGAGGCGGTGTAATGGTTAGTAAGCTTGTCTCACTAGAACAATTATGACTGAGTAGTGAGTTCAATCATCACTAGTTTCCTCATACTTTTGGCCTTGTGCTACATCTAAGCTATGCTTGGAAAATCACAATATTATGGAAATGATTTTGTCATCAATAGCAAATGGAAGAACATCCATAAATATTGGGGAAAAAAACTGTAAATTGTAGGGGATTGGTCAGAGATATTTACAAAGTTTCTGAATATTAGAAATCACAGTGATTTCCAGTGTGCATTCAAGTCGAAACGTCTCTCATGACGAATGACTTCTCCGGTTGTCGACTATCAACCGTTCCCAAATTCATATTTAAAACTTTGGAAATGCATCCATTTCGTAAAATACATTTATTGGATGCTTTAGTACACATCATCAGTGATGTTTCTAGTCGAGATTCATTAAGAGTTTCGGGTCTGACCCAGCAGATACTGATCGGGTATCGACTCGTGTACCTTCTGTCAGCTACAATTTTGTCCATCTTCCAAACTACACACCATGCAACGCTTCTTGGCAATTTATTGTCCAATCCCGGATGACTTCCGATTCAACAGCAATGTGCGCTCTTCCATAAAAAATGGAAGCAAACGCAGCCACAATTTCAAACTGATCAGGAATATGGTGGCGTGCTTGGCTTGAAGTGGTAAGTACCAATTAGATTCCCCGCACGGAGACATATGCACACACACACGCATACAGAGAAACATGTTCAAATCTCACATACTGCTTACACTTATCGCCATTTTCATTCAGGTTAATCATCCGCCGAAGAAAAAGAAAAAAAAATTCTTTTCCTCCTTCCGACTTTTTTTCATTTCATCCTTGACCCTCCACTTATATGAATTACAAACATAGACACAGATATATAAGCGCCCACGCAAACAAACATACCAACATACGCATCTAAAAAAATACCGTAACTCTGGTAGGGGTCAAACAGGTGCTAGATTTGCATATAATTGCATATAAGCATTTTAGAATCTCGACAATTACCGTAATTCCCTATGTAGAAATTATTTATGAAAAACAATAAGCACAATTAGAGGCGAGTATTATGCACAGCTAAAAAATGATATTTGAAAAAATTGCCGTTTCATTGGTCGATTTCAATTGTGAAATGACTATTCACCACAAACATACGACAATTTGATATTAACATTCGGTGATTGCAACCCCATAAGAATGTCAAATACAATCATATGTACCTATCAATACAAATTTAAAATAAAATAAGAATTGTCATAAAATTAATTTAGAATAATATTATTCTATGTTTAAAACAATGTTTTGTGAAAAACTACATACAGATCTGATAGATTGCACATTTTATCGAACAAAACCAGGTTAATGAGTCTGCGCAGTAGGCACAATATAGGTATTTCCGTTTCCTGTTAGAATCGTGATGATCAAAAATTTTGATAAATATCTTCAATTACAAGTTGAATAAGAGTAGGAAACGCTAGACGTAATGAAATTTGAGAGGTACAATTCATAGGGTTTGATTACCAAACAAGGGGTGCATATTATGCGTGAGTAGAAGCATTTTCCATCATTTTCAGGAAAATGTTAAGGGTTCGTATTATGGATGAAGGCGTATTATACATGGGAGACTTTCGGTGATATTAGAGGACTTGTGAAAAAAGAAAAAAAAACAGGAATTATTGGCTTAAAACGCTAATAGTTATAATATTGATTTATTCGATCTCCAAGAAATCAAAATCTAAAAAGGACTTGACATTAATATCGAAGTGAGACAATACAAAATAGTAGCTTTGGTAACAGAGGGTAAATATTATAGTAATGGTTTTGTCACCAATACAAATAGAAGAAAAAAATCCACAGATATTAGAAATTCTTAAACAGGACAAGACAAATTGGAAGGAATTTGAATGCATTCAAACGGCAGGCATGAATCTAAAAATACATAGAAGAAAATTAATATTAAGTGAAATGAATAAATGGAACAACCATCTTATCGATATTGAGGAACGACATGAAAAGAACTATCAAGATAATTCCAATATTCCTCGTAAGACTTTAAAGAGATTAAAAGACCTGTATCTTTTTCGCTAGTTTGCAAAGGACAGGGAGGTCTGAAGAGGTCTATTAAGGGTTATTTACAAAGTTGCTGAAGATGAAACATCGCACTAATTTTTAATGAGCCTTCAAGTCGAAACATCTCTCATAATGAATAACTGCACGGGTTATCAACCATTAAATGTTTATAATTTCATATTTAAAAATTTGCAAATACTTCCAATTGCTTATGAAGATTTTACCATTGGGATAATGTTAGATGACTTGTGGAAAATGAAAAGTAGGAATTATTTTCTTGGAAATTTGATCGTTATAACTTTTATATATGTTGTCTCCAAGAAACTAAAATTATTCTTACATTGTTCCAATAATGTCCTTATCTTTGTCGCCATATTTATTACAACGTTTCGGCCGTTGTACGCTCCGGCCTTCTTCTAGTGTTTGGAATGTCGAAGTGAACCCTTTATTTTGCTCACTGGGGTAGACTGTTCTAGTTCCACGTGCCATGTTTAATGTTAATTTATCAGTTATCTCCTGTTAATTTCCATCTCCAAGTTCTCCACTGCCTTAACCGGGTATTGAACTTACACTTGGGTTTTGTCACTGGATCTAACCAACGCCTTATCCACTGTGCCATGTGTCCTTCAGGACTTCTGGGTATGAATTTCTGGGTATTATAAACCTTATGTCTTCAGCAACCATTTTTACCAGTGCACATATTGCAATTTTGCTGTTATCATTTCATGTTTTTTTTTTTTACCGGAGCTCATATTGCAACTCTGTTGTTATCATTGCTTTTCTCTGGCACTCCTTATTACTGTATTTGTATTTATTATAGACAGATACCAAAATTATTCTATGTTTAAAAACATACATACAAATCCGCTAGATTTCACATTTTATCGAAAAAAAACCCCAAAAAAACAAAAAAGGGGATTGTGAGTCTGCGCAGTAAGCACAATATAGGTATTTCTGTTTCCTTTTAGAATCGTGATAATCGGAAATTTTGCTGTCTTCAATTACAACTTGAATGAGAGTTGGATCCGCTGGTCGTAAGGAAATCGGAGAAGTACAATTTATAGGGTTTGATAACCAAACATGGGATGTGTATTATGCGTGAATAGAAGCATTTCCCCACGCTTTCAGCACAATTTTAGGAGCCCGTGTTTATCGATGAACGCGTATTATATATGAGAAATTACGATAATGTTTAGATGACTTGTAAAAAATGAAAAGTAGAAATTATTGGCTCGGAATATGGATATTTATAACCTTTATATATGTTGTCTTCAAGAAACTAAAATTTGATTTAATCTCAGTATAGGAGTTAGTACAAGTCTGTAGCTTTTGTAACAGACTAAATATTATGGTAATAGTTGACATCCGTGGGGATCGGAAAGTCTCTGACAAAATATGAGAGATATTGGCAGGAATTTGAATGCAGTTAAACTGAAAGTATAAATATTAAAATACGTAGAAGAAAATTAATCTTAAGGGAAACGAATAATTGAACCAATGAATAACTCGAAGATGAATATTTTGCACATTGAAGACCGACATTAAATGAATTGTTAATATAATTACATAGTTTCTGGTGGTCCCAACCCTATGCCATCACTTTGCAAATTGCTCTAAGAGAGTAGGGGTTCGGAGTAATATAGACGTACGCCAACGTTTACGAGGATTGGGCAGTTTTTTCTTCTCATTAAACCAATGAACATGTATGATAACCTACATAAGAAAAACCTTATGCTCCATCTTTCATTAATGTGTGTCAGGTAAAGAAAATCACGTTCTGCAATTTCAATCGACGCTTTTCAATAACACTCTTATTTTTCATCGTGTAAGATGTTTCGAGCTGCAAATGAGTCTGACTTATCACATTCAGAAAATGAGTAAATATCTCTTAATAGTAATCACCAAGCGACCTAGTTTGCACACTTAAGATAAACATTTAAACGATTGTCAATAAAGTCCTCCTAAAACGCTTTAAAGAACTAAAAGCCCTGCGGCGATTTCGTGAGATAGAACAGGACTGGGAAGATTAGGAATGTGCTTAAAAAAGTTACTGTAGAGGGGAAATCATACCGACCCGCAGTGTGCCTTCAGCTCCCAAGAGCACATCGG